AACCTCCGACGTTTTTTCATTCGTTCTTCCCTTCCCTTTGTTTAATTTTCCTCTTTCCCTATTCTCTCTCCAGATTTTGTGCTACCATTCTTCTTTATTCCTTTGTTTTCCTCGTCGCTCATTGTTTGTGTGACATTGGTTTGTGAACACCAAAAGCTGAGCCATAAAAATCCCATCCAAACCTGAGCCCTAAAACTCGATCCAAGCATTACACATGAACAGCAAAAACTGCAGAAAATTCCAACATGATCGAGGAAGAAAAGGTGAGGCTGCAGATCTCATCAGCCCTGGGTTTTCAATTTGAGCCCTAGGTTGCGATTTGGACCAATTGTGAAGACACAACCTTTGTGCACTTAAACCAGGTGAATCCAGACCCTCCACACACAAATTTATTGTATTAAATGCTTCAATTTCCCCCCATACATTGTTCAACACCTCCAGCTATTTCTAGATTTGGATGCTTTGGTTTTTTTTTTGGGTTTTATTTGTTGTGATTCTTGGTTGGAAAGGACAAACTTATTTTATTTGCTGTGCCATAATTTGTTCGAGTCTCAGGAAAAATCAATCAAAAGTAAGCATTTTTATTTTACGTTCAATCGTTTCTTTGATTCTTTGGAATCTCATTTGATGTTGGAGATGGTTTTTGTCTATTGGACTAATTCAGTGTTTATTGCCCAGAATAAGTTGGGGCTTCTGTACTTACTGCATCTTGAGGATCTAGATGCATTAGGAAGGTTAAGTTGGTATAGTGCTGCATTAGCGTGCCTATAGTGGGAGATAAGTCGTGCCATTGCTCTAGAGGCATTCGACATTGGAGGACCGGTTGTTGTATTATCGGTACTATTTACTTTGTAGTAATAATTTAAAGTAATAGTGGTACGGTAAAATGCAATGTGTTTTGCCACTTATATAACTTTATGATATGGTTGCATTGAACAGTTATGGGCCTAGAAGTAGCTTACTCACATTCGTCTGGACAGAGTCTTACCAGGACAACCGGTTGTTGCAGTAACAATAGTAGCTGGTGATGCACCCGATGAGGTAGACATTCATGTTCCAGTACCTGTTATGGCGGACCCTCTGTAGGGCATGACAAAGCATCATAAGCCATTACCTAGGGGACCATTGGGGTCCTACCATGATTGTAGATGGTGTGACAGCCATATACTCTAGGGGTCCTAGCAGAGTTACCACTATACTGCATTAGTGGGCACAACTTATAGATGACACAAGCCCCCCTTATCTGATTCCCGGTAGTAGAGTGGCATTTCCCTAAACCTGTCAAGTGATAGTTTGGTTTGAGACAATTTATATCGAGGGCATGCGACAGTGGGAGTGCACTAAATGCTATAGATCGACGCGGTAGGGCAGGTTATGATTGGCGAGCTGTGCATCAGTCCTTTGTTAATGTATGGGAGCATTGATGAGAGAATATTATTATAGGACAGACATACTGAGGAGTGATTGATTTGTATGACACATACATGCTTTGGCACAATCGTATCACTCGACGACTTATCGGAACTCCATTAGATAGGCCACTTGTTGTATTCTAGCCTATGGTAGCACTGTCGTGATATTGGTAAGATAATATATGTTTATATTGATCATTATATATCCAATACAGTTACTTATGATTGTTTATGTATTTCATTGTTATGTTCGTAGGAGCGTACTATTGTGCAGATTCACCAGATTAAACATGATACTCTTAAGGCTAGTATAGGCACAACACATTCATAGGTCCTGTGTGATGCACGATCTCTTAGCTCCACCTGCCTTGAGGTAATTTGAGGAGGCCACTGTCTGCATCAGAACCAGCACCCATCCCACAACTTGTACATTATGCACCAACCCTGTGCATACTAGACCTTATGGGTTGGTGGTACGATGACTGAGACCTCATCGTCGCCACACATGCACTCAAGTAGATCAGGATGCTGCTACAACAACAACCGTGATTACAGTTGAGCGGACACCGGAGCGTGGTATACCTTGTCAAAGACCAGCCCCTAGCATATATCATGAGGCATCATCACCTATGGAACCTCAGCATAGTTATCAAATCGTGTATCGGAAGGCGTATTGTATTTTAAAAATAGTGTATCGTAAGATACGGTGCAATTTTAAATAAATAATAATAAAATATAAATACCTTTGAAAAAAAATCATACACATAAAAATATAACATTTCATTAATACTCCACTAACTATTCAAGTCATCAATATAATCCACTACTATTATAATGCAAAGTTTACAACCATAGTTCACTAATTCAAACTTTAAACACCAAAGAGACTTCGAAATTCAATCCAAATTTTTAACATCCATTTTGAAATCATTCTTCAGTTTCAATTGAAAATGCATCATCATCATCATCATCATCATTGTGATCGGATTCCAACAAGTCTTCACTTCCTTCATCATCTTCAACTTCTTGTATTTGTTCATCCTCATCCTCATCCTCATCTTCAAGTTGAACTATTTGCTTTCCTTTTTTCTTGTTTAAAGAAAGATTTCTAGGCCCTACAAAACAACAAATACAAAATAGAAAAAAATATATTCAAAGTAATGGAGAAGAAGAAAAAACAACCACTATATTTTAATTATATACTATTTACCTCTCTTTCTCTTTTTGCTAGTCCCTTCTTTAACTTCAAAATATTCACCAACATTCATCCAACTAGTGTCCTCAGGAAGGAGTGCATCTTCTTTTTCAGTGATCCACTCATCATCAGATTCCATATCTAAGAGAGAAATAGGATCATAGGAATCACCCTCTAGTATTCTCGTTTGGTGTCTTGCCTCCAATCGAAGATTGTACTTCACAAACACAAGTGCACTTAATCTTTGTTGCTCTAATCGATTTCTCCTCTTAGAGTGCACCTGGTCAAATGTACTTCAATTCCTCTCACATTCTGTGGCATTACAAAGTCAAGCTAAGGACGCGGATAGCAAGTTGTTGCAACTCTGGACAACATCCTCCAAATGATTTCTACCATAAGCCTATAAAAAATTACAATAGAATACTGCATTAACTAACTTAAGCAATTGCATTAAATGACTAACTTAAGTTAGGTTACCACTAACCAGGCATGTCCATTCCAAACATCAAATTAACATCATGAAAGATATCTAATTGTTTATCAACTTTTTCTCTCACAATAGGACTTGGGCACATTCTTTGAATAGTCTGATAAGGTCTCATCTTTATCTCATAGTCCGCACTACCGGTGTAATGAAACTTGAAATAGTTATTTTGATTTACAATGATCATTGATCAGTATACAATATATAGATATAAAATGATATAAATATTGAGAAACTTCAATCTTACGTTGGATTAAAATAATAGGCAGCTGCATGAAGAGGTCTGTGTAATTGCATGTTCCATCTAGTGTCAACAATAGTCCATATGGACTCATAGTGTTTCTTCATATTACGAAAATTCTTTTGGATTTGTTCATTTGCCTTGTCCATTGCCTCATAAATATACCCTATGACAAGCTTTATATCCCCATCTACAAGCCTCAACACCTTCACCAATGGCAACACACACTTCAAGCAATACTTGATTGCTCCCCAAAAATTTTGGTCAGCTAGTACAATATCCATCACTTTTACACCATCTCCCTTCTTAGAGTAATGACTTCTCTGCCATTCTTCAGAAGCAAACATTGCTCTAAGCCCAATTTTATTCTCAAATAAATTCCTTAAAGTTAAATATGAAGTGACAAATCTGGTCACACAAGCTCTCACCAAATCCCTTTTCTTTGTAAATTTCCTCATAAGATTTAACACCCAAGAATGTCTATAAATGTAAATTGTGATTTTCCTTGCTTTTGCCATTATATCCTTGTTTAGAGGAAGGTCTCCAATATCCGTCAAAATAAGATCTAGACAATGTGTAGCGCAGGGAGACCAAAACAACTTTTTTCTCTTTTCCATTAACAACTCCCCAGCTTTTACATAAGTCGATGCACTATCAGTCACAACCTGAACAACATTGTCCTCACCAATCTCTTCTACCATTGAATTTAAAAGCTGAAAAAGATTATCCGCATTCTTACAAATACTTGAAGTATCAATACTTTTAAGAAACACACTTCCTCTAGGACTATTCACTAAAAACTTAGTGATAGGGCGATGTTTCCCATCAGTCCATCCATCAGACATAAGAGTACAACCCGTCTTTCTCAACTCTGCTTTATAATTTTTCATTAACCCACTATTAATCAAATCTGTTTTTTTTTTCAAAAAAGAACATCTCACCTCATGATACGATGGTGGCTTCAATCCCTTGCCAAAGGATGCAACAGATTCTAACATTCTTACAAAATATGGATCATTTACCAAATTAAAAGGAAGGGCATTAGCATAAAAACATTTACAAATATCCAAGCATACATCTTCTCTACCCTTTTTCTTCAACATGGTATTCAAAGTAATGATGGTGGTTGGTTGTATTTTATCAGCAGTAGTACTACCCACACTACCACTACTTTTTGAATCCACAAGACTCATATCTTTGCTAATTGTTTTATCATTCAACAATTGCTTAAAAAATTCAATTACTTCCTCAGGGCAATGCTTACACGACGCTACATCTTTGCGATTACCTGCCAAATGATTTTTCATTTTTGAAATGCCTCCCCAACAGACATTTGCACAATGAATGCATTTCAATTTCAACCTTGATCCTTCTACTTTGTCACAGTGTTCCCATGTGGGATCATTAGCAAGTTTTTTAGTCATTTCTATATGAAAATTGGATGAAAGTGATGCCCCTGTTTCAGAAATTTATACAAAAAAAAATTAATCAAGATTGAGAAATTAATCAAGATTGAGAAATTAACCAAAATTCAGAAATTAATCAGGCTCCACTGTTTAAAATTAATCAAGATTTAGAAATTTTTATACAAAAAAAAAAATATATTTATATATTTGGCTTTGTAAATAAATTAACATTATTTCTTATTGCACAGGATCGCAGGTTTCGATGGAGACTAGGAAGAAGAAGAAGAAGAAGAAGAAGAAGAAGAAGAAGAGAGCTACAATGGAGTACCTGGAGAAGGAAGAAGGGAGCTTCAATGGAGCCTGGGCTTTGATGGAGGCTTCTTTGATGGAAGAGATGCTGCTTCGATGGAGGCAGCTTCGAAAACCAGCCATCACCGATCACCCACAATCCAAGACTAGCGATCACCCACAGTCGAAATCTCAAACCCACAGTCGATCACCCACAATCGATCACCTACACCGAAATCCCACAACGAAATCCCACAGCGATCACCCACACTCGTCGTTGATGGCTGAAGGAAAAACCAAACATCTCTAAGGTTCTGACCATCGACGAGCGAACGACGAATATGAGAAATGAGGGATTTTTTTTTTTTGCAACCCTAGCCACTGAAACGATGTTGTTTCAGTGTTTATAGGGATTAAAAAAATAAACTCTTGGCACAAAACGACGTCGTTTCAAAAAATAAAAAAAATTTGCACGTATCGTGCGTATCGTAACGATTCGTATCGTATTGTAAAGACGTATCGTGTATCGTACGATACAACGCGAAAACGATACATAACTACGATCCGTATCGTTTTAGACTCGTAACGTATCGTATTTTACGTATCGCGTATCGTACGATACTAACAACTATGAACCTCAGCATACACCACCCCTGAGTGCACCTTGTCAGACACCAGCCCCTAGTGTACCTCATCTGGAAGCATCCCTTATCAGACCTCAGAATACACCACCCCCTGAATGTGATGTCACGCAGGAGAATGCCATTGTCATTGATGCTCCCATTCATGAGGCAGACACAGCCACATAATATGCCTCTTCAGCTACATCGCCCATAGAGCCTATAGTTGAGGATGCACTCCTGATATCGCCTCTACATGTTGTAGAGAGGTCAACACCAATAGAGGATGTCACTCAAGAGAGTGAGCCACATGTTGATACCACTCCATTTGTTGATCTTAAGTCCCATATTCGAGCCCGAGGTGATAGAGGTTGGACTACAGTGTCGGTCGAAGAAAGTGTCTGACAGGTCATTCAAGTAGAGCCCTCGGAGTTGGATGTCCGACATCCTAAACGATTGTGGAAGAAACCAGCTTTCGGCACACAGGTTTATCATGACTGAACACTTCATCACTTTATTCATTTGTATGTAATCAAGTAGTTTTTTATTTTCTCTTTAACTTCAATACTACTCATGCATATTGATAGGGTGCTGGTTATGGTTGTGGTGGTTTGATTGTGGTTTATTTGGTTGCTCTTGTGGTTGTTTGGTTCTGGTAGTTTGGATGTGGTTTACAGGTTCTTTTGCTTGAGTATATGTTAGGAGTGATATTGCGTATACACGCCAAATTTTTGGTGGGGTTCAATTTTTAAGGGAATCTTTGCCCAAATTTTTTTAAATGTATTCAGAAAACTCATTTTAGTTTTTCGTTCTTTAGAGTGTATACAACTTCTATTTGTAGATATTTCTTTTTTCAAATTTTACATTTTGTTGTTTTGTTTTGAAAATGAAAGTATAGACAGATATTTCTAGTGTTATTATTTCAATAAGTATGATCTTATGTACACTAAGAAGGTACACAAAAATCCTAAAATTGAAGAAAATTCAGAATAACACAAAGTAGCCCTTGGATACATGTCGTACGATATATTAGAATTGCCATAGTGCTGCAGTACTGCCACCATTAGAAAGAAGATCACATTCTAAGTGGTCACTCTTCGGAGTTGTTGAAAAAATACCTTCAGAACTCACCTCACTCTCCCCCACTTTCCATGAATGCATGTGGGCCTCATATGCTGGTCATTTTGTCCAATAATTCTTGGGCCGGGGATACACGTATACCTTCACTCTTTGGCGGCTTTTTGAAAGTGGTGCCACCATTTATGGATTCCTCACGATGAGATGAGTTGAATGGTGGTAGTTTGACCATTTGAGGTTGGGGACAAGTGCATGTGCCCCTAGGTGTGTGTGGGGTACTATTAATCAATCTTCTTCCTTAAATCAAAAAATCCTCTGGAGTTGCAGAAAACATTGGTTCGTCATGCTTACTTTGCATCATTATATCTCTCCCTACATAAATCCATTTGGTACAAATATTATACCACTGGAAAGCTCTTACATCATACTTTCCAACCATATGTATTTAGTTACATAACAACAGATTTGGTGTGATGAAATTTTATTGCAAATTTTGGGTCCACAATAGGTCCAAAAATAGGGTTTTATTTTCCTATCATACCACACGTCTTTAAGCCATCAAATTTTATACACATGCTAATTAGGAAATAAGGATCATCTGCATATGAAAAATTCGGTCCAAATCACACAAAAAATAAGATATACAACTATCCATTTTTAATCATGTTATAGAAGTTGTAGTTATCATGCATGTTTAGGGATGTCAGTGGACCGAAGCGCGGGGGGGGGGGGGGGC